GGGGGGCCGGGGACGGGCAGGGAGGAGCCCCCGGCACGCACGGCTCCTTGCAGGCGGCCACCCCAGTCGCCGGGCGTCTGGGGAGAGCCGAGGCCAGGTAAAACCAGCCAACGCACCCTTAGGGAGCCTGGCGTCTCCCGAGCAAGGAGAGACAGCGAAGGGAACTGACGTCACGGTGGAGCAGGCTACTGTTACACGGGAACCGGCAGATGTCCTTCACGCCGTTTGCACAGGAAGTCAACCAGGGTGAGGAAAGGGCCCTAGTCCTGGGGCAAGTTCCAAGACATGAAGCTAAAGAAGAGGATCTATCAACCGCGCCGCCAGAGGCAGGCTCGTTTCCAACCCGTGCCAGCGCATCTCAGTGAAGACCTCCATAAATTATGCTCTGCCAGGCTCATGCACGTCTTCTGCTTCCAAAGCACAGAAGAGAAAAAGAGCAAAAGTCAAACAGCAAGACGCTGGCATATTTCTGCATTCTTAGGGCTTAAATCATCCTACCCCTGGAGGAAGCTGAAACCCAGCCTATGCAAGCCCAGAATGCAGAACAGCTGAAGTCGGGACTACAGGCAATCAGAGCAAACATATGGGAGGAAGAAGTGCATCTCTAACAAGAGAGGAAATGCACTCTGCGGAAAAAACAATGGGTCCAACAGAGGACACTTGCATCAGGATGTGGAACAAAGCCCAGACGAACCTACGTGGTCACAGGGGACTCAAAGCCCAGTGTCTGATTCAAGGCCATCTCAAGAGCAGAGTTAGTGTAAGTAAGTCAGTGCCAGAGGTCACAGACCTATAAATAAGACATGAACAAATAAAGCAAAGCACCTGAAAGCTTCCACGGAAGAAAACATTCATGCCTGTGTAGCCTTCACAGCTCTGAAGAGCTGGGCAATGGTCAGTCATACTGCTCACATGCAGAAAGCCCCATCAACCCACTCCCTACTTCGGTACGATATTAACCATCTTACCAGGCACGGACTCGGGGCTTGGTTCTGCGTTGCCAATCCAGGTGCTGGTAGGCTGAAAAGACCACGTATAACCCGTCTCCAAGTCGTGTGACCAACCGCAGAGGTCTTCAGGGAGATCAAAGTTGCAGTTGAAGTTTGCAGGCAGGTGGAAATCTTAGAAGCAGAAGCAAAGCAAGGTTGGTTTAAAAAATGACCTGCCCGTGAAGGGATGCTATTAAAAAGCAGCCCAAAACTAAAATAGCTGGCGAGCCATAACTGCAGAAGAAAGCATGAAATCTCGCTCACACTGATGCTTTTAACCTATCTCACATTTCGTCAGCTCCAGGGATCAGCCTTAAGTTCTGCATCATCAAAATGCTCACGCTACGTCCTGCGGCTAATCCACCAAACTAAGCAAATATAAAAGCACGTACCAAATGCTTCCAGACTCTAATCAGCACCTTCTCTTCATCCCCTAGAGCAGTCAAATATTAAATGCCTTCTTAAATGTCAAGGAAGAGCGCTTCCTGAGTGCCCTTGTGCGCGGCAGTTCCTGCTCTGGCTCCAAAAGGAGAATCTCAAGTGCTCCAGAAAGCCAGCTCCTGAGTGACAGATCTAGCCGTTTGCACCAGATGGGAACTGTCTGTCAACACGGTGAGCTGTCACTCACCGCTTGGTACCTTCGCATGGAAATGCCACCAGGGGAAACGCGAGGCCATGATGGTCTCAGGCTTTAGGACTGCGAGTGAAAGGAGCCAGCCTCTATTTCCAGCTCTGCTATGGATGCACCGCGCAGTCTTTGGGCTAGTCACTTAACCTTTAATCTGTGAAACAGGAACCGAGCTAATTCCCTCCGTGTCAACAGCTTTAAAAGCTCTGGAGGGCTTTCCTGCAGGGACTGGCCTGCCTGCGGCTAGCAGCGAGGTCCTGGCTGGTGCCCTCTGCCCGGGAAGCAGATGCGAGGCACGGAGGCCACAGAAACAGGCTGGGAGGCTCCCAAGCGCTCAGCGGACACGCACGTAACAGAGACCAATAGTCTTGTATATTTTTTTTTTTTTTTTCCTGAGAAAAGAGGAAGTTTTAAATCACAGTGCCCACAAAGCGAACGGCGGCCCAGCCGGGAGGAAGAGGCGAGTGACTCAAGCGATAGGCATCAGGGGAACTTTGCTGCGAGGGGCAGAGGGCTTTCTTTACACGCTCCCACTTGAAAATAATACAATGCAGATCATGGATCCTTTTCTTCTCATCTAATCGCGTACTCTGGAGAGCCGCATTGTTTCTCCTTGGCTGTCGTAAATCTGATTGTCCCGGGGAACACCCTCATTGTTCGTGGAGTATGAGAATGAAAGTCGTCCTGGTCGCTAGCTGACACGGAGGCCAGCTCCAGGCTCCGCAGCCGGCTCCGCTGCCTCCCTCCCGCTGGCCGGCACCCAGGAATCACGCTGCTGCAAAGACTGTTATGGGCCTAAACGTCCTCTTGGCAGCTTCCCAAGCGCCTCAGTGCTAAAGGGGGTTGCACAGGCTTATCACGGAGGCAAAGAAATGAGCAACAGACCCTTTGAGCTACCTCTGCAGCTTGCTTTCCAGAACTGAACTCAGGGGAATCCCGACGGGAGGTGTGAGATAGCCAATTAATCTTAATTGTTTTTTCTTTCAATTTACGTATTTTCAAACCCATT